AGTACCAAAAAAAAAAAAAAAATTCCAGGCATAACTTCTAATCCTACAAAGAAAATGTAATATACAATGGAGTACTATACTGCTTTAAAGAAGGGTAAATATGTTATTTATAGGTAAAAGGATGCACCTGAAGGATACAATTTTAAGTGAAACAAATGACACACAAGTTTAAATATCACATTGTTTTACTTGTGGGAGAAACCCAAAGGATAAATAAGAAGCAAAACAGAGGACAGATATTGCAAAGTAGGAAGAACATGTTCAAATGAGAAGGGGAACAAAGGAGTGGCGAGGCAGAAGGGAAGGAAGATAAAAGGGATTTTAAAAAGAGAATGAAAGGGAAAAAGTGGAAATAAAGCTGTTCTAAATGGAGAGGGGAAGAAGGGAGGGGAAGAAAATGGGGGAAAAAGAATAGCTGACATATTATGTACAGGTACAAATTTCTTATGATGACTGTGATCATTATGTATGGTAAATACATGCTAGTTAAATTTAAAATAAGTAAAAAGTTCTACTTCTAAAGTGATTACAGTAAATGTGAATGAATTAAACTCACCAATTAACTGACAAAGACTCCCAGAGCAGTATTAAAGATTCAGAAACAGGTTGTTTAAAGAAAATATATTTGAACAAAAAAATATGGAATGAATTAAAAGAATTGAAAACACACATGCTGTGAAACACATATAAAGCAAAAGATAGCCAGTGTTAAGTTTTTACTATCAAACAAAATATAATTGGGGGGCAAAATGCCTTATTACATGTTACATTAAATCAATTATTAGATGTTACATTAAATCAAGAAGTTGTAATAATCCTGAATACCTATGCAGCTAAGAAAGATTTAAAATGGATAAAACTAAAGCTGACAAATTTATAAGAAGAAATAAACAATAGTAGTTGATTTTAATGTATGCTTCTCAGTTGATAGATGAGACAAATCTAAATCACACTATAAAAGATATGCATATGTTCGTATTATTAATCTTATGTGTATACCTGAAAAACATAAAAATTACATACTCAAACAAGAATATGAACATTTTCTAAGTATAGGAGGAATATTAAAATATGTATGAGTTATGAAAAACTCTCAAAAATTCTAAACAGTAGATATTTATAAGGAATATGCTTTCTGAATAGTGTGTAATAAAGTTAGAAGTCAATAGCAAAGTACAGCAAAACAAAGTTCTGTGTGTCTGGGAAGTAAAAAACACAAGACGGAATAATTTCTTGGGTTAAAGAGGAAATCACAAGGGAGAAATGACATATAAATAACAACAGCATCCTAAATGTAAAAACCTGACATGTAGCTAAATATTCAGAAAAATATAGCCTTAAATACATTTAGGAGAAGGATGAAGCTATTGAGTGCTTTATGTACTAAAAGCAACTGATCAAAAGCAACAAAAAGGAAAACAGAAAAATGAGCATATTGGTAGAAAAGAACAATTTTTTTTTTTTTTGTCTTTTTCCTTTTTATCGGTACCAGGGATCGAACTCACGACTGCCTGCTTGCAAGGCAGGTGCTTATGCCGCTGAGCTAAATCCGCAGCCCTGAAAAGAACAATTTTTTAGTTTAAAAAGAAATCAGGTGAGAGGAAACTAGGAAGCAGACCTTTGGATATGGGAGAGGGGATCAAGGAAGGATGCGGACAGGGAGAAGGGGGTACCTGGGATAGAAAAGAGATGAAGATGTGTTAAATGCATGTACCAGGTTACTGAATGAAGCTTACCATCTGTGTTACTAACGTGCATTTAGAAAAAGCAAGCAAAGAAACAGCAAAAAATTATTAGGGAAGTCAAAGCTAGCAGCATGACATAAAATTCTGGTAAAACTTCTATGAAAAAAATAAAGTTATTCAAATTAAGAATAAAAAAGGGTGTATCAGAGACAGAAAAGATTACAATATTTAAATTTTATTTTACAAAAAAGCCAATGTAAAAGCCAATGTATATCTTTCTTGAAAAATGCCCAAAATCAAAATTGGCTCCTGAAAAACTTGAATAGAATAGCATCTATTATTAAGAGTATTAAAAATATTCTTCCACAGTGCAGACTGTTTAAAGCTGAGTAATAATACACTTTTGGGAACAAAAAAATTCTATCCTATACAAATGATTAGGCTTCATTTATAAAAGTCATTTTTGAAACTATAAAGTAGTGAAAGTTTACTAATTTATATTACAGCTAATATAACCTTTGTGGCAGCTTTTGGTTAACTCACTGTACTGGTGTTACTTATCACTGGATACTAATATAATGAATAGGGAGTATAATAAAATTTTAGAGCGTCAGAAAAAAGACTTCAATTAAATAACTATATTCTATAAGCTTGGATTAAAAGTCGAGGTGATAAAAATGTCAGTTTTCCATAAATTAATGTATTAGTTAAACCTAATTATAGTAAAAATGTGAAAGAATTTATAAAGGAAATTAAAAGTGATTCAAATGTTTCTTGAATAACCTGAAAGGTAATTTTAAAGAGTCTGATTTATTCCATTAATACTAATGAATATTCTAGTAACACTTCATTGAAGAAAAATGAAAAGATGGAGATGTCTAGAAAGGACGCAAAGCAGCCCTGGGTAAAGGGACACAAATTCTGTAAATGATAATGCAGCTCTCTGACAAAAGGAAGTAGGCAAATAAGCATTTAATAAAAGTGCTGAGCAATCCATCAACTGCTAGGACAAAAAAATCACACACCTGTCCCAAATCATACAGTGGGTTCTCGGTATATGCTTGATACCGCCTTTCACTAAATAGTTAAGTGCTAACTATAAGCCAACGACGAGGATACAACTTGCAGCAAAAATAGGAGCACAGAGGCAAGTAGGGAAAAAGTAGGGTTGACTGATACAAAGTCAATCTATGTGCTTTGCTCAAGTAGTACAACTTGCATTTTGCTTAAAGTAATTAAGAGATCTCCTGTAACATGAGGCTTTTTATAGACTCCAATATAATACGACCCCTGATAGCAACCACAGGTTCTGTGTATGACCCTGTAAAATCTGCCTGGTGCGTATTTTGATGTGGTTTTTAGTTGCATAAATAAATGTACAACTGTGAGAGTGGCAGTAACTGAGAGAGATGCTGTCAATGATGACACGTATAAGACACAGATATTATGAAAATGAGTTCCACACAGTGTTCACTGAACACAATCCTGAGGCAACTAATGTTAATGTGCTAAAAATAAGAGGATAAAATAGTTACAATTGAAATGGTAAGATAGAGATTTGCCTGTTTTTAAGGTGGAGATAAACCTCTAACCATTAAAAAACCAACATTACAAGAAAATTACTGGTTTGGCTAAGCCAGCTAAAAATAAATTTGCTATTTTATACAGGATGGGTCTATAGTAAGGTCATCAAAACTTGTCTGACTGCAGAGGCAGACTGCAGATAGTTTAGGACTTGTGGACCACAAAGTCTGTAATGTAAGATCGACTTTGTTATTATATATGAACTCAGCCAAAAGCAGACGAAGAGATGGGTGTGGTTGTGTATGAGTAAAAGTTTATTTACAAAAAAAATAAAGTAGTGCATAATAACTGAGGTTTGGTAGGTGTTACATAGTTTGTCAGCCTCTGGTCAGAAATAGATCAGAGTTGTTCACACTGACACACTGAAAATACCTATGGATCATTTTATTCTTGGCTCAATTCAAAAACTGGAGGATATAATCCTCCATACCTTGTTTCTGCTTTTTAAAATATTTCTAGCTTCTACAAAACAATATGGTCCCTTAATTTGGCTCCACTACCTACTAGAGACTATGGAGCTTGACTTATTGGAGAGCACTAAAGAGCCACACTACAGGGTTTTGCCAGGGCAATACTACTACCATGACATTTTCAAAGCTGGATTGAGAATTAAAACATTTAAGGGAGATTTCTTAAAGATCATGTAGTCTGCATACTCCTACCTGACACCTCGTCTTCATACTCAGCCTTTTTCTGTAGAAATTAGCTTTACCTTCATTGCTCTTTGGGTTAAAGATATCAGTTAATCCAGAAAGTCTCTATAAGAATGATGATTCTGTAAATGACATCTTCTATCTTCAACACAGGAGAATGTTCCCCAGAAAACAAGTATAAATATAAATTGCTTTGGGACCTGTTCATCACTGAGACTTACATATTAGGTTCTAAGACGTTAATGTGAAGAAGAGTTTATGAGTCTCCTACATCTGTACCCAGATCTTTCCTGGATCTTCTTCGATGGCTTTCTGCCTCAGGAGGCTGACCTCGTCAGCATTTGAGATTGCACCATTCACACTCCCTTGACTGAGTTTTTCTGGGGAGGGGGTGCTCAGTAGGAGGGGAATAATACTAAGGTTATTGGATATATATATCACCGTCTCCTGCGGATGCAGTTTTTAGCAATGGCTTCAACTTATAAAGCTGTAGGTACCGAATAGCTCTCCTTCAAAAAGAGAATGTCTTTTCTTCTCTCTACCTATTTAGCCAAAGGCAGGTGACAACTTCCTGCCAGGGCCAGTCCCTGTATATTCCACCATGTTAGTTTCACCTTGTTAGTTCCATCAACACCACTCATAGTCTGTTCATTAAACTCTTTAGTTAAGCCCTTTGGGTATGTCACCTGATTCTTATTAGGACTCTTTTAGTAAAAGACAAAGAGCTTTTTTTGAAAAGTTGCTGCTTCAACAAAGCTCACCAGGTACCAAAACTTCTATAAAACTGAAAATATATAAACTGAACTTAAGACTAAGTTGCACATTTACTTATAGCTTGAAATTATGGGCTAGATACACTTTAAACTGCCACTATGATAAATAACAAGCATTTAAATTAGAGAAAATGGAATGAGTTCTACGTAAAGTTTGCTTTGAAATTAGCGGCTCAAGAAGATCTGTTATTAAAAGATTTCATTTGAAAATTGATTGTTCTTAACATAGTTGTATTATTTAACAAATATATACACAGTAACAAAATAGATGAGTATAGACGACCATCCCATGCATCAGTGGTTACCTCTTTAAACTTGTGACTGAGCTTGCTTGTGTCCAGGTCTGATGGAGAAAACATGTCTTCATTCTCAGGCAGCTCGAAGACTTCAATGGCCATGTCACCATCAGGAAGAACAGGTCCCACCTCATCCTCTTCTTCATCTGTGGCATATTCTCCTGTCTGAAAGGCAGAGGATTTCAGCAATCTAGCTGTCTTTCCCCCCAGGCTGAGGTGAGTCATTTGAAAACATTTTATAAAAGAGAAATAAAACATCAGCAAATAGTAAAGTGTAAGTCAGCTTTTAAATTAAACATGCCTCATGCAGCCAATGTTATAAACAAATGTTAGTTCAAAGATCCAAAGTAACAAGTCCATACCACGTATGTACATTTCTAAAAATTCAATAGTATCAGGAGCATTTTGACTATAGCAACAAGTGCTGTGTCTTCAAACTGAGTACTTGCTGCATTTACTACATAAAAATATGTTGCTAAAGGAAATAAGTAATTTCCTTAAGTTGCTACCTCCCTTGTGAATAAGCCACCAATTATTTGGAGCAGAAAGGAAATAGAGATTAAAGATTCACATGGTTGGAAGGGACCTTTACTAAGCCTTACAAATTACTGTCCTAAGCATCAGTGTTCAATCAGTTGTTTTGTTAATTAGGGTGATGGTTAACTAGTGAGGTGAAGGGTAAATTAAAGGTTTCTAACTCTTAGAATCCACATATATATTGTTTTGCCTGCAGAACTGGGTACTGTGCTTTGTCAATGTGATAAAATAATGTCATGTAAAATTCTCAATTTTTATGAGAAAGCCATGGATTTGTCAATAAAGGCACACTGTGACGTGATAACAACTGGCCAAAGTTGGTAGTGATTGCCCCTTATGATTTTATAATACATTACTTTCCCTAAGGCCCTTTGTGTAGGACCACTGTTAGCTTCACTCTTGTATAATGCCATGGACTCCTGAAGGTTTTGGAGTTCGTGACCACTGGAATAAATACTACTCTTCGACACTAACTTCCTTGACATTACTATTACAAAGTAGCTCCTCTCCTTGGAGCATCAGGCTAGGAGACTAAAATAATTGTTTGAAACTTTTATCTTATGATATGATTTCAACATAAATCACTGATTCACAGAATTAAAAAGACTTAAGTTCATTTAAGTAGTTCCACTGGGTAGTACTTTAATACATAAAACACAGAAAAGAATTCATATTGCCTGCAAAAAGTCTTCAAAAACAGCACATAGAATGATCCATTCTCTGATTAAATAGGTTTGGCATCTTTTTCTGATGCTTTTGCTTTCTTTGGTGTAGTCTGTATTTTCCTGTTAAAGCGGTATTCTGCCTTTAAACAGTTTGCATCTAAAGAAATCTGGTCATTAACCTCACTGTGGTAGTCCCAGTATCTGGAAGCCCATTCATTATTCAACTGCCATCAGACTTCCTCTTTTGAAATAAAATAATTTTAGTTTCTTCAAAAGTAAAGTAAAAATGTTTAAATCTCTTTGTGTATGAGTCTTTGTGGTTTTACTCTGACTCTTCTCCAAGGGCTCCACATTTCCTTTAACTCATGCAGCCTAGAAGCAGACTAAGTAAAGGAATCTGAGGGCCACTGAGCACTGCTTTAGTGTCCCTCAGACTCTACTTCCCCACCTGGAAGTTACTATCACAAAGCCCCTGACCTTGGTGGCATTTGTATACAGAGGTAAGCTCAGGAGAATCTTCACAGAGCAGTGGTCTTGCAAGCTCCTTAGATCCCACACCCCTAATTAAATCAGAAATGTTTCACTGATGGGAAAAGAGTGACCCAACCACTTTAAACCTGTAGAGCTCCTCAGGACCTGCAAGTCTAGGATGCTGCAGAAACTAGTCTAAAAATTAACAATACCATCCCAAATGTGTCTGGCACTGGCAGGGGAAAGTACCTAAATAATAGGTCTGGTTGATTCTAGAGAGCTTCTTTTAGTAAAATAAGATCCTACATTCTTTTTTTTTTTTTCTTTTTATTGGTATCAGGGATTAAACTCAAGACTGGGCACTTGAAAGACAGGCACTTCTGCCGCTGAGTTAAATCCCCAGCCCCAAGATCCTACATTCTTAAAGGAACTCTAGTTTCAGATTTGGTGTATAAATTAATTCACTTTATGTATCGATATCTGTCTATAATTTTAGTTCCATTTACCAATTTTCTTTTTTACAATTAGCCTTATATGCATTCTGCAGACAAAATATGTCTTTTACTGTCTTGAGTCTCATTGTTACTTATTAGAAGCTATGGATACAAAGCCATTCTCTCTTGCTGAATGCTTGCCCTTCCCACTCCAGAGGACTCATAGACTATATTTATTATAGAGCCTCATAAACATCCGGAAAAAAAGGTTACATTTAGTGGACTAACTATAACAGGTTCTTCTGTTTCTTCTATCTTTATTGAAAATAGAATTTATTTTTATGGTTACTTGCAAGTAAAATAAATGACATGGAATGGTACATTAGCAGAAGGCTGTATACCTTAAAATCACACTGAACTGAATCTTAGAGAGGAAGAGGGGCAACACTGAAACAAATGAGGACCGTGCTCTAAGTAGCCACAGACTCTTGACATTTTTTTTATCTCAACTCACAAATGCATTTTAAATGTAGCAAGGATAAATTTTAGTATAAAAACTGACAGTAAATATTCCTTTTCATGATCTATCTTCTTGATTAGTATCTTTTCTTTTCTAATAGTTCCACTAAAAGGGGGGGGAGGAGAAAGAACAATCCTATCGCAACTTATTGTTTGCCTAGCGCTATATATTCCTCAATAACTATATACCATTGTTTTAATGTACTATGTTAATTTGAAAACACTGTGACTCAGGGACTACTTAAAGGAAATTAGTTGTTACAGTTGTATGTAATACATGCCAAAGCCCATGCTTTTTATTCTATGTGATACTGCTTTCAGTCTACAGAAATTAAAGCTCTTCAAGGAAACAAAAACAAACAAACAAAAAAACCCAAGAATACATTCCTTTCCTATTTACCCAACCCAAACCCGTGTGTAATACTGCTGTGGCATGGTACATTAGCTTCCCATGACTTGAAACATAATCATTCAATTTATTTTGAAAACTTCTGTTTCTACAATGTTCCAAAGTTTTGTTCTCTTTTGATCTGTCATACATAATACGCTCACTCTCAGAGTCTCACTTTAAGGGAGACTGAAGGCAGCAATAGACAAGTTAATTGCAATATAAAGGGAGGAATCTTTGAAAACCATACGTATCATTGTATCTCATATCACAGGTGTACTCATTTGTCTATGTTTTCATTGCACAGCCAAGTCTTCTTCAGTCTACTGACAGATGATTCATGCTTCTTTCTTATAAAAATCACAACCATAAAATATAATCTACAAAAATTATTGCACTGCACTGCCCCAAGTATAGATGAAAACAAACACATAGAATGAGTCTAGTTTTTTTGTGCATCCTTTCTTTTTGTTTCCTTCCCATGGCTTTGTAGGGATATTGGTGTTTATTGAATCTTCCCAAAGTATTTTATCTAGTTTTCATGTATAAAAAACTTCTTTTATACTCGTATCAGAGCACTAAATGCTACATAACTTAATTACAATAACAAGTATATTGGCATGCCTCACCTCTTGGTAGGCCCACACTTTAGCTAGTGGGAACAGATGTGCATGGCCACACTGGGGTCTGAACACTCATGAGAGCCATAGCATAGTTATCAGTTGATTAAAACAAGTGTTTTGTATCCGTAAGCTGGTGAAGTAGGATTACTGAAAGAACCTAGTTTTGTAGACACTTAGATCCAGGGTTCAAATCCTGGCTCTGAGACACTGAAAAAGTTCACTTTCTTCATCTGTACAGTGAAAAACCTACCGAGAATTTCTTAGCATAACAAGGTTGTTGTGAGATTAAACTAGATGGTACCTGAAAAATATTCAACACAACATCTGACACATGGAAAGTGTTCAAAATAACTGATTGCTGCTGTTGCTATTGATGGTACCAACATTGTAATGGCAACATACCAAAGCCTCCCCAATCTTATACCAGATGTTTGCTACATTTTGGTTTCATAAACCTAATTCCCTAGAAGATCTAGAAATACAAATTTTTTAAGCTAATCATTTCTTTTTCTTCTGCTAAGCCTGCTCCTTCTCTTATATTTGTACTTTTCACAGTAGGCACAAGCTTTCACTGAACCCAGGAGAACTTTCATGTGCCTGGCTCCCAACATGCTGCGGTGGTTTAAGATGACATGATGCATGTCCGATGAAGCTGCTGTCCTTAAGACTTTCCTAGTCCACTCCTTTATGCTCCTATTGTAGAATTTTGATGTTTCTGTATCAGACTTTCTTATCAAATTTTTCAACTAAATGCTGCTTGGGCCTGATGGATATGATTTATTCTTACAAACCCACTGCGGTTAGTGCACTGTTGGGTGTATAGCAGGCAGCAAACAAATGTTTGCTGAGTAAATGAAAACAGTTGTAGCCACATCTGCACAGTATGACAGAGTCTGATTTTCCTGTTAATCTCAGCTTTCCCATAAACAATACAGTGAACCACAGCTGCAGCTGAGGCCTAGATGACCCTATTGGGAATTTTCTCTTGTTAGGTTCAACTATTAGTAGTAATTTTTGCTCTAGCAATGCTTGCTCTGGTAAACTCAGAGAAACTAAATAGTGCTAATCATAAAAATAGCCTTAATTATGCAGTTTTGTAAGAATTTATTTACTGGATTTGAATGATTACATACATTTTCACTCCTAAGAAAGAATAGAATAGAATTACTTTTTCTCTGGAGGACTCAGGCGTTAATGTTTAAAATTCAGTCTACACAAACTTTTGAAAAAATATCCCCTCCTCTGTGAAGACATCTCCTGGTTCATTTTCTGTTGGTGACCTAGTTTTGTACTGTTTGGCTACTTAGTCTCTTTGGATGATTTCTGCTCTTATCATGAAGTTGTTGTCATATGATTTATGGAAGTGATATACTCAAAGAGTTAATTACAGTGCCTATAATATTATAAATGACTACATGACTTTCTGATTATGATTATTTTCATCATCCTTATTTCTCAAAACAGTACTAAAGTGATGCATGAGCTTTGGGGCTGGAGAGAATAGTTCCTCAAAAGAGGAATGACTTAC